ATACACTTATAAATGACATGGACACTACGAATATGCCAGGTAACGTCTGAAGGAGACTGAAGAGGAGCTGGATGAGAGACCTCCTCGCCTAACGTAGATATCACGCCGAGTGAGGTGCCGCTGGGCACTGATCCTCGTAATGAATTTCATGACATTATTTTTTCTAATCAAACTCACACTAATCAACATTCACTGGTTGTCATTACCATTACGACAGCTGGGAATAAAAAAAAAATAAACCAAAAAAAATTAGTTATATCAGGAAAAAAATAATAGTAACACTTCTGAATTCACTTCTGGAAACACTCAAAAATAAAACTTAAACAGAAATTGAACATATACAATTATTTACCACAAACTATTTGGAATTATGCACCATACATATTTGGAACAGCTAAAAAGACTCACTTAAACTAACTTAAAATCTTTAAATCAAAAACATTCAGAATAATTATAAAAGATCCTGGGTACGTTATTAACAAAACCTTCAAAATACCGACTGTTAACGAATACATACGAACCCACTACAAACGATTCTACGACAAATTATTGCTTATATTATATTATATTTTTAAAAAAAGTCTTATATTATACTATGATTTCAGGAGGATTAAACAAACATTCTTGACAATGAAACATTTTAAAATATTTCTCCGAAATTTCTTTTTGTTCCATTGTATTATTAAAAAAAAAAAAGTGTCTTTTACCGAAGTAAACAAATGGCAAAATAATTCGATACAAAGTAACACAATAAAAACAACTAAATTTGTAATCACAACCTTTAAACGAATTATTACAAGAACTACCCACGAATAGAATACAATATAGTTTTTAAATATTTTTTTTTATTGTTGTTTTATTTCAGATGATATGAACAATTAACGAAGGCCGAAACGTCCTATTATATATTAAGTAAAAATATCTTTTTCTTGTTAAAAATATTTTTTATTGTTGAAATATAATTTTCAGAGAATTGTGGTATTTTTTAAATCTTAATCAAATATTGATTAAATTTAATAATTATAAAAAAGATACATTTAAAAATGAAACGGCTAAATAAGTTTTTTTTATTTATAATTTTAAAAATATTTTACCCGAGATCAACTGAGCTATGTCCAACGAGTTTTGATTCATGTTTAATATTTGTTATTAATAAGTTTTCTCTTAAATAGATTCAATGATTTTTGGAAGTATTTTCTCCGAAAATAATATGAATAGAAATACAATGGATTGTATTTTATTATACAAAATTAGGTTTCATAATACAATGTATTTTATAATACGGCGCATAACTCCATAAACACATTTATAAGTAAATATTTATTCCGCTACATTTAATCGCTTTCAGCCAGTAGCGGATTGAGGATTAAATTTGAGGGATTTTTTTTTAACAATTATTACTCCGAAAGAAAAATAAATAAAAATAATGAAATGATGTTCAAGTGGTCCTTATAGTCCAGTCTCAAGCTTAATTATAAGTAAACACAAAATTGAATAAATAGATTAAAGAAATTAAGATAAATACGGTGAGAGCAATGACACTTTTTGTTTTTTATGTATTTATCTCTAACGTTGTATTTTTGACGATCACGCTGATGTACAGACATGGCCAGGTCATGGACAATGAACTATATATCTAGTAAAGTAGAAATTATATTTATAGTAACAAATCAAAAGTAAATCCTTGATTTCGACATCCTAGATAGAATATCATTAAGGTTGTTAAACCTTTTATATAGTAAATTCATCGAAAATATACAAATATATTTATATATCAAATTTAAAGGTGTTTATATTCATGAACTACTGAAAATAAATATATAGTATATATCCAACATATAATGTAAATATGTGACGCAACCTCATATCGCAACCTCATGGATAAGCCACTGAAATATATCAGGGGCATCGTACATTGGTTATATATTTTAAAAATCTATAACAAAAATGCCAAATTTCTGATCACGACTATTATACCCACTTTTTTTTCGAAACGTAAGCAATTAAAACTAAAACAATTCACAGAAAGATATACGTGACATCTAAAATGACCCGCATGCGAAAAATACGGACTGTTCAGTCAAAAACATTCAGAACTATAACGAAATTAACGCTAAATTTTTTCGATAAGTTACGCGGACATGCTAACACACTTCATATAGGTATTAGACCAAATTAACACACCCGTTAACATAGTTAAAGAAGAAGAAAAGAAGGTGGATGGGGCCTAAGCCTATCTTAGATATCTTCTAAAGAAGCCTATCTTAACTATAAACATTTTTTTTTTTTTTTTTTTTTTTTTTTTTTTTTTTTTTTTTTTTTTTTTTTTTTTTTTTTTTTTTTTTTTTTTTTTTTTTTTTGAGTATTATAACAATCTGTCTGTTGGACATTGGCTATAGTGAGGTAGGATGACATTCACACCATATGTACAAAAAAAATAAAATAAATAGAACAAAATAATAATCAAAAGTATATACAATAGACAATAAAATAAAATAACCTAAAAAAATAAGAAAATTAAAACTAAGGAAAAAAAAAAAAAAAAAAATAACATGCATACCTATATACAATCAGGCGAGGGAACTCCAGGAGAACCCTGCGCCACTCTCCCAACCGCGTCACTGGTACTAAAGCCAGCGGAGATTGGTCGAGAGCACTAACTATAAATATTAAAATCAAGATTGGAAGGGATGCCACTGGGCATTCCTTTCCCTCACAACTTATCAACACTTCATTAATATTATTATTCTCGATATCACAATCATTTGATATCAGTATTTCTGATTGGTGTGGATTAAGTTTTTTTTTGGGACAAAACTATTTCATACAGGATAACAAGATATTAGATGGCTTTAATTGGGGAGATGGGAGGGTTCATTTAGATTATTAACATATTTTATAACATAACCTCATGAATGTATAACTTAGGTAATTGAAGTGGTTAACAGATATTTAAACAATAGACATCCGAAAGTATTAGTATTTGCATTGTATAATTAAAATACAAGTAGCCTTCCCGCCCGATCTCCTCTTGCTTCTTTTTATATTTATGCATGGAATATTTTTTTCCTCTCTTCAGAGCTTGTCAGTTTTTTTTTAATCCCCTCACGCTGCCCTAGTCACATCTTTGTGAGTAATTAGTTCAGAAGTAAAGGCATTCCGATACAAGTATATATGTGTATATATATATATATATATATATATATATATATATATATAAATATATGTTACAGAAAGATCACGCGAAGATGGAGGGGTGCATGTTGGAATTAAACACAAAATCCTAGCATATGCGGACGATATAGCTGTCTTCAGAAGTAATCAAGAGGATATTAAGACACTCCATCGGATTCTGTTAAAAGAAGCAGAGTAAATCGGACTACAGGTCAATGTAGATAAAACAAAATACATGATAGTTAGCCGAAATATCCACCCTAATAATATGATCTGCGCGGACTCTAAGTCATTCCCGAAATTAGACATATTCAAATACTCGGCTCCACAATAACCTCAATAAATGATCAACTAACAGAGATAGACTAGCGAATAACTAGTGCGAACAGATCTTTCTTCTCTCTTTCAAAGGTACTCTAATCCAGAGAAATCTCCGGAAATCTCAAAATAAGGGTGTACACCGCCGTGATTAAGCCGGTTCTGCTGTAAGGTTGTGAAAGCTGGGCTCTAACCGTCACACTAGAAGCCAGAATTGAGAGATTCGAAAGAAAAGTTCTACGTAGGATAACAGGACCTATATGGGACCAGAACCTTGACACATGGAGGAGAAGGAACAATAAAGAACTGCTGAAAAAAAACGGGTCAGTCATGACTTGGAAATAAGGAGGTTAAGATGTGCGGGACATGTAGGTCGTAGAAATCCATCAGGACGCCTTTACACAACAATGAATGCTAGAGTAGTAGGCAAGAGACCATGTGGGAGGCCAAAAACCAGATGAATAAATAGGATAAACAAAGATACGGCTGTGCATCATGCCGCAAACTGGAAAGCAGTAGCCCAAGATAGGCAGAGGTGGAGAAGGAAGGTTCAGCCGGCCAAAGATCTACAAGGTCTGTTTAGCCAACCGAAAAAAAAAAAAAAAAAAAAAAAAAAAAAAAAAAAAATATATATATATATATATATTACATTGCTTGAAGACCTTCAGTACTTGAAATACGCCCCGATGATGACCCACATGCTTGGATTGAAACGTCGGACTAATAAAAACCTTAACCTTGCCATATCCTGACTATTTATCACCTATAATCTGTACCTCTAGCATTTGACAATGATGAGTCTACGACAATGATATTAATCATTATTTAAAGACACTGATATTTTATATTGTCAGCTTTCTCTTTTCTTTGTTAGCAGAAACACACCTCATTTTAAAGCAGAACACAATGTATTTTTTATTATTTTATTTTTCAAAAGAGTATTATTATAATTTTTCCTACTGTACATAGTCTTAAGTGTTGTATCATAGTTTTAAGTGTTTTTTAAATAGATTTTTTTTTTTGTATATAGCTTGTTTAACTAATATTTTCTTTACTTTCTCTTTTTTATTATTGTTTTATTTTGGCCAGATGTAGTATTTTAATTATGTTCTATTTTGTTATTCTAAAGCAACTTTGTCCCAGAATAAAGTTATTTTCTATTATTATTATAATTATTATAATTTGTAATTCCATTAATTAATTTTAAGAGGAAAATAAATGTTTTTCTAATGCGGTTTTGTGCTAGAGAATCAATACTTATATTAGTATTCATATTTAAAAAACCGATGAAAATGTCAAATATCAATATTTCAAGTCCGATATTAATATCTATATTGGGTCTTCGATATCCTATCTCTATGGTCATACATTGGTATACTATCAGCTACTGATTGCTTTTACCCTACATATCTTTCTGCAGACAATCTAAAAACTAAACCCTCCATGTGGCTACGCCATTGTTGGTTAATAAAGTTAAAATAGAGCATAGAGTGAAGTTGAATACTCACGGCTAGTGGACCCAGGACTGGCCTGAGTAAGGCTGCTGCTCGGCCTGGGAGGTGGGTGCCTGCTGCTGGGTGAAGTTGAAGTCCAACGTCCCGTCCAGGCTGAGCTCGTGCTTGATGACCTCGTCGACGTTGCAGTCGAAGCCCCCGTGGAGCGGCAGCGTCTCGATGTTGATGTTGAGGTCATCAAGCATGGCAGGGTTGAGGACGTCCATCAGCTGGCCCATCATGGTGGCCGCGCTCTCCCCCTCCCCGTAGCCCGTTCTCTGCAACAACCACAAGTCCTAACAACTTATTATTATATCTTGTCAAAATATATATGAATAAATAAAAGGTAAAAGATATATTTTAAAAAAGTAACCTAAAAGTGTTGTATGAGGAGTGAATTAATGGATCATTGTTAATAGATAATAACAAACATTTGTCATAGGAAGTCGGGTAGGTCAGTGGTAGAGTACTGAGCTTACAATGCTAAAGATCCCAGGTTCGAACCCGGCTCATGGCAGAAAATTTATTTATCTATCCTATTGCCGTGGGACAATCCTGGGTCGGGAGACCCTCTTGGGGCACATCCAGCCTCTATAAAGCGGGTACCATAAATTAAATAATTGATTAAGGGGGAAAACTTGGCGGTTGAGCGTGATCGCGGTCAAATCACCTCCTTGCACAACCGTTGTCCTAGAAACAGTGCTTTTCCTAAATATTAATGAAACCAAGACCCTTCATGGGTTGTAGCGGTACAGGTTTTTTTAAACATTTGTATAGCTGGTAATAAAAGTGTCAGGAATGGTTGGACTGTGGAGTCATAAGAACAATTGATACTAAAATCCAGGCGCAATATTTCTAGACAATATCAGGACCACGAAAATATCACTTAGAATTAGTATTTTCTTTTATCTTTCTCCATGTCTTCCTCAACCTCTCGGAGTGTTCCGCGTTCCTCTCATCCAACCATCTCTTTCTCCCATTCCTCCTTTCTTTCCTTCCATTGCAAGGACCATCTTTTGATAAACCCTTTTTCTAGATTCAGTCATATCCAAATAATCTTCACTCGATACTCCCAGTTTTACAATTTCGTTTATCTATTCTGGATACCTCTTTGTATTCTTGAGATCTAGTCCTTTATCTAAGGTTTGCTTATTTATTCTATTTTTATAATACCTCACGCTTTCTCCGGCCCATATTTCTGACCTTATGCATCAGCCCGACACTTCTACGACTTTAAAGGACGCATAAAAGAAACAATCGCTGACTCATAAACCAAGGAGCACACGGTAAAATAAGCAGGAAAGTAGAGAATTTTATGTTTCCAGGCGACTTCCCATGGACCAGACCTGCGACGTAGCCAGTATTCGTGGCCGGTTTCAGCATGCTGGCTGGTCACGATTATCTCAGTAAACATCTTAATCTTATTTGTTTAGTGGGTGACACTAAATGCTTTGCGCAAGTGAAGACATGTACTCCAGACATGTTTTTATCTGCCCTATATTAGATGATATTAAAGATAATTTCAAAGATGACGATATCATTTATTTTAAAAATTAATATTAAATTCGGCGGTCAAGTTTGTCGACGAAATTGTAGTTAAGTAGTTTAGTTTTCAACAACTAGGGAGAGATCGGAACTTACTATATCGACCCTTTTGTATACTTAAGCTTCGGATGGCACAAATGGCGAAGTAAAGGTTTGACGGAAGAAAAAAAAAAGTAGGGCTGGAAAATTACATAACTAGTAACGTCACTTGGGGTGTTTTTTAAAATTATTATTATTAAGAAAATAAAGAATGAATTACCATTTCTAATAATTCAACTCCATTATCCGTGGTACAGATACCTTTTTATCCGTTTGACATGACCACTATCCCCAACATGTCAAAATAACGAGGTCATAAGACCCAATAGTTATATAGGCTACCTTTTAAATTTTTTCGTGACGAAATTATCTTACAATTGAAGTGGAAAGCAAATATTCAATGAGTAAACATATCATATAAAAAAGTTGTAGATAACGATAAGATTTTTATATTCATAAAAAAAAAAATAAATAAAAAAATAAAAATCTGTACCACTACAACCCAATGAAGAGTCTTGGGTTCAGTACTATTTAGAGAAAGCACTGTTAGTAAACGGTTGTGTAAGGAGGTGTTTTGACTGAGATCACGCTCAACCACCAGGTTTTTCCCCTTAATTAATTATTTAATTAAGGGTACCCAGTTTATAGAGGTTGGCTATGTCCCAGGAGGGTCTCCTGGTCCCAGGGACACCCATGGCTGATGAAATAGAATAAATAATTTTCCTGCCATGAGCCGGGATTCGAACCCAGGACCTCGAGCATTGGAAGATCAGAGCCCTACCACTGAGTATCCCACTCCCTGTAAGGTTTTAGGGTTTTAGAAAAATAGAAATATATATATACATTTCGATTGTATTCAGTCGATCTTCCAACATAAATAGAGATTCTCTACCTTTAGTATTGAGGATGCAAAATATCTAGCTATATTTATTCAGATTCTTAGAGAGCGAGATTTTGTCTCTGATTGAACAGACTTATTATTTATAATAATATCAAGAACAACAATAGTAAAAATAATAGACAAGAGCCGTAGGAATGGATATTGATGACCACCTTCTCCCGGATGACGTATTGATCGGAACAGAGGCTGTCCTTGATGAACGTCTAATTGAAGGTTCTTTTCATTGGTCCATTTTCTGCAGCCGATATAATACTCCAACACTCCGCTAGATCTTTGGTTACAGTTGAGAGCAAAGACGCGAAGCAATATGGATTAAGCAACTATTTATTTTCTCTGATGGATATATTGTTGAACGTTATTTTAAAATTATGAGGATGAAAAAAGTCAGGATTCATATTATGTAGTTTAACAGGCATGTCTTCGTTTCGACCGAAGCAAGTGGGTCATTACCCGGGCTTGAAGTTAAAAATTACCAGAGAAATATAAGATATAGTTAAAAAAATAAATAAATAAGCATAGGTAAAAATATATAAAATACACATGAAATAATGATAATATAAACATAATAGTACACCAAGAAAAAACAAAGTAGATATATATCGTACACATAAAGTAATTAAATGATCAGTTAAAATACATGCACACAAAATAAAATACAATAGACATCGATTATTATAATTTAGCAAATTCACTTCGTTTATTTTTATCGTTGCTTTATGCACACATTTAATTTATTATTACTTAACAACTAGTGAATTGATTTCTAGGCGTAATTGTATTTATATATAAATACTATATTTATATTACCATTATCTTAAGTGTACTTTCCATCTTTACATCCACACTTATATAAGTAGAAGTATATAAATTACTTCTATTATCATATGGAGCTGGTTAGGGCAGTGAGTAAGGCGCTAACTTCCTATGTTCAATGTCCCGGATTCAAGTCGAGACAAGTAGTTATTTATTCTGTAGCCGTGAATCGACTCTGAGATCTGGAAAAATTCTGACGCTTGACCATGATTTCGGCCAAATTACCTCGCTGTGTAATAGTTGTCTTTGATACAGAAGTTTCCTACGAAGTACTGAATCCAATAAGGATCAGTACTGCTTGGAGGGACATGGGTTCTAATTGTACAGGAAAGAAAGAAAAATCTACACCTTATATTTCGGATGTGCTTTCTACAATTACTAGTGCCCAGATAACCCATATTCTTGGGTTGTTGAAACATCGGCAAGTATAATAAACCATATATAGACTGCAAATCTTGAACAATTGTCATGCTCATACTTATTTCATTAAATTATAGTCATGGATTCGAATTTAAAACAAAAACTGGTGTCAAAAAACAATGCTAAATCAGCAAAACAAAACGAATAAAACTGCATAGTTTTCGTTTGGTACAACTTGTTCCAATTGGGGGTGGTTCCATTTAATATAATAATAAGAAGGCTTAGCGAACCCGAAGGTTCGATGCCGATACCATCAATCGATGTCTACATTCTTCCATCCACCGGACTCCATCTAAACCCAACCCGCCAGATCAGCCTTAATGCAATCTTCTCACCTTCGGTACAGTCTACCCCTCGGACACCAGGCGGCACAGCTCATATTAATCTTTTAGAAATTCTTTTATTACTAAGACTAACAATTCTACACGCCCATTTTATTTGCCTAAACTTAATCATCTTAATTATATGAATGAATGAATGAATGAAAATTCTGCTCACTTCTTAGTCGAAGATAACAATGCCGTGTGGTAAACATAAACATAGACATAAATATTGCTGACATTTAATCATGCATAATGAATGGTCTTATTTAAAGGCATCCTACTGTAAAATAAAATATATCATTTAACTTTGGGAGGTTTTCTATCGTTAGCAAATTACCGAGCATTGAATTGTTGTCTTCTGTAATATATTTCTCTACGTAATGTTCCCTCAAGTCTTTATACATCGGGCATTCTATTAAAAAATCATATAAATTTTCTGGCTTTTTGAGATTGGCCATTCCATTAAGATAAAATGAAGGTTTCATTAAATTGGCTATCCTAAGTTGGCTGACTAATATTGTTGTCCGTGGCTTAGAATACTCATGTTTCTGTATTCTGATTTATATTTTGAATTGACGACTGAATTTATGGCATTGCAAATGGAGTGATTTTCAAATCTACTTATAATGCCTTTGAGGTATAGTTGAGCAATTTCAGAATTAGGATCATTATATTGTGTGGCAAAGTCGAATCTGAACCTACTTTAAATAATTTTCCTTTTAGCTTAGAGTAACAATTAAAAACCATATTGCGATTATTGTTCAATTCCTGCAATCTATTGTAGCAAATCCGTGGGATTCTATCTTCAGGCATTTTTAATAGAGTTATCCACCATCTGTACATTCTTTTGACAACTTCTAGTTTCATAGTTGTTATCTCTGTTTTCAAACGTACAATTCTTAATTATATTAACCGGGTACAGTTCGCTCAATCCAGCGCTATGCAATAGCCTAAATTCTCTGATTGATTCATGCCCTTCAGCGGTCCTAATATTCTCCATTTAATACAATGTTTTTAAATTTTAGTTGTTCTAGTACATTAATCTTAGTTTATGATGTAGAGATGGTTGACCGTTGATATAATATGAGGAGTTGATCGGGAGGTGCGGTCAAATTAATACTAAATTAAATAAGTAGAATTATTTAATTTTTGCTGACATATCGACCCACTTTGCAGGTCTTCATCAGGGCTACAAAAGATATAAAACATGGTTCATTTTTTTTATTTTCACCATGTTTTCTATCCTTTGTAGCCCTGATGAAGACCTGCACAGTGGGTCGAAACGTGGGCAAAAATTAAATAATTCTACTTGTTTAATTTAGTATTAATTTGACCGCACCTCCCGATCAACTCCTTCTTATAATCTTAGTTAACATTACTATATAGTTCGACTTAGACTAAGGAGCTTTTATTCATTTTTTTTTTTTTTTTAATCCTCCAACAAGAGCTTAATGTTATCTATAGTCTACTTATAATTAGATATAGACATATGATAAATATATACATTATATATATATATATATATATATATATATATATATATCATATATTTTGATATATGATAAATGATATTACTTACATGTTTAGGGGCTATGGCACAAGAGGGACAGGGGTGGACCTGCCTGTGGACGGGGCAGGTGGATACGTAGGGAGGTGCCGGCCTATAGGGGGGTGGTGGGGGGCCGAAGCCCTGCTGGCCGAGCCGCATGTTCTGCTCGAGGTTCCCCGCGAGCTGCTCGGGTCCGTAGTAGCTGCTCCAGTCGTTCTCGGCGACGATAGGGCTGAGTCTACCCCCGCAGGAGGAGGCGTTCGAACTGGCCCTCGGCCTGAAGTCCGGGCTGCAAAAATAAAAAAAAATACATATTCAGAGATCTCACATAGAAAGGTATTCGAAAATAAATTATTTTATTTGAGCCAAATTGAGAGCGAACAAGCAGGCTTTCGTCCGGAGAGGCAGACTCAATATCACATTTCCGTGCTAAGAGGCATCGCAAAGAAAGTATGGGTCTGAGACAAATATATATATATATATATATATATATATATATATATATATATATATATATATATATATATATATATGGCATTTCTGGACCTCAAAGCAGCATTTGACTCTGTTCTAAGACAAGAAATATGGGATGCTTTGGCGGCAAAAAATGTTCCAGCTGATCTTATCACGGCAGATTACGATCGGCTTATAAGGCAGCAAAAGGAATTGTAAGGATTAATAGTAGAGAGTCTAAGCCTTTTTCCAAGGAGGATTCAGGCAGGGAGACAGCTTAAGTCACCTCTTGTTCATCATATTTATCGATGAAATCCATAAAATTTGTAAGCGTCGTACTGCTTGGACGGTCGTCGGAAAATGGAACCTGCGGAATATTATGGTCCAAAGCCGATGACATTATTCTGATAGCGGACACGAAAAACAAGCTGCAGCAGGTCCTTGTAGAATGGCAGGAAGAACTCCTCCGCAAAGGTATGATTATCAATAGCTCCAAAAGCAAAGTTCTAGTCATATCAAAAGAGGAACAAGAAGACATCCAGCTGATCTATAACGGGCAGGTACTTGAGGTTGTGCAAAAATTCACTTATTTGGGTATATATATACATATATTTTAAAACTATTTATTCAAGATATTTACAACTGTATTACAATATAAATACATAAATGTGTACGCAAGAATATAATCACAATAAAACGCTTGTTGAGAAACTACCCACTAGTAGCACTCTAATAATATGTCTATATAAGATCACGAGGCCATCTTTTTTTCCGACATCTCGGAGGGTTATCAGGAATCGAAGAGGAAGCAAGATTAGAAACGAGATGATTCGGATGGTTATGCAGTTTATTATCGAAGGATAGGTAGCTGGATTGGGCCAAATCGGAAACATATGGAACATTAAGGATTTTACGAAGGATTTTGGATTGTAAGGATTGTATACGAGAGAAATTTAATGGAGCCGTATAGCTCAACTCCGTAAGTCCAAATAGGTCTTATTTTTCAACATCGATATTGAAGAAATCCGACATTTCTTAACCATATGGATATATTTGGTTGTAAAATATTACATGTGCAACCTTTAATTATAAAAGTAATATAAATCTGTTTCCAACTTTCACAGTGACTTTAGAAATACTGAAAGATAAGTCCGCCATGTTGCAATAACAGGAGTTTAACTTTAACCATCGCTTACACAAAACTTAGTTTTAGTCAGTTGTTTCACACCTTTCTTTCTATTCAATCGAGTTGTGGATTATAAAAGAAATAAAATGAATAATTAAAAATTTCATTTTTAATTATACATTTTTATCACCTTTTAAATTGGATAGTGTCTGCTAGCGTAAGATTTGATCTTTAAAGTAACCATGATTAATATCCTCAACGCAATTCCACTAGGCTATTTTTAGTTTAACAGTTAACGAGATTATCTAAATAAAGACGCCGGCAATTGTATAAATATGTACATAGATAAAAAAAAAAATTAGAATCGCACCTTTGTAGTAGTTCTATTTTTGATAGCATTTCACAACACACATGTTTCTTAGTTTTATTATTTAAGTTCTCTCTCTCACTTTCTCACACACGTATTCTGTTTCTATCTCTTTCTCTAAAAATAAAATTATGTTACTATATAAATTTTTTACTATATAAATATTTTCCATAGTATTTAAAATGTTTAACCTTTATATTATAATGTCTATTTACACTTAAGTTTATGACTCACAGGTCAGAATAATAAAAATCGAAATTAACATCTGATAATCATTTACCAATATATTTTCGGTTCAATGTAAAAAAAAATATATTTATTTGAAAACTTTTTTATGTGTTGTATATTTTACTTATTGTAGTTATGACTGGTTTTTGCATTGAAGGTAAAATATATTTGTATATAATTTTTTTAGATTGCTGAGGAGGGTGACAAAGATTCCCCGAAACGTATAATAAATAATTATCAGAAGTTAATTTTGATTTTTATTATTCTGGTCTGTGAGTCATAAACTTAAGTGTAAATAGACATATATAAATATTTAAAAAATAATTATTTATCTTTTTATACCGCCTATTAATGATACTTGTACTCTTATGAAAATATTTCTGATGTTAAATAGGAGAGTTTTCGAAGAGGAGATAATTTTAGAACGGCAGGTCGTTAGGAACGGACTCCTAAGTGGGCGATAGATATGAACTCGAGGATGGCCGGGGTTGGGAAATGGCATTCCGTCGGAAAATCCCCACAAGGACGTAGGGCTAATTTAGGTAAGGAACTACAGAGGGCGAGAGGGGATCGTTGCGAAACCCACCTTTCACATCTGATGAAGTGGCCCTTTCTAGGTCGCGAGGTTTCTCCTTAATGTCATCTAGATAGTTTTAATTATATTATAATGTTTACTATTTTAATTTAGACAAATAATGGTAATTGGTTGGAAGAATGTGGATCTATGTATATATATATATATATACACGGGATCGGGTTAGCTAAGTTGTACTCACAAAAAACGTCAATTTAAAAATTAAAACACATACATTATTAAGGTATCCTAAGGAAGATTAGGAATACTGCAGTATTTATATATAATAATAATAAAAGTAAAAGGCTTAGCGAACCTGAAGGTTCGATACCGACATCACCAATCGCTTATTACACTCGTCCCTCCATCGTTCGCCGTCCATACCCAATCTCCCTTCAGATTGGCTCTAACGCAATCTTCCCTTTTATTATTATTAATAAAATTTAATATTAATCTTTAGGAATTCTCTCGTTAATAAGCCCGACAATTTTACAAGCCCATTTCATTTGACGCGATGTAATCACTTCAATTATATTAACCGGACACAGTTCACAACACAATTCGGCGTTGGGTAACCGTCTGAACTCTTCGGTTAACTCATACTTCTTCGGTCCAAATATTTTACACAGTACTTCATTTTCAAAAACCGTAAGATGTTGTTCATTCCTTAATGTAAGCGGCCACATTTCGCATCCATAAAGAACTGTAGCTAAGATAATGGTTTTATAGATTCTAGTAATTAAGTTTAGGGACAATAGGCGCAAGGTAAGTAGTTTTGTCACAGAGAAATAACAAACATTTCCCGCCTTCAGCCTAACCTTAATCTCCTCTTCAATTTCGTCTTGGCCTTTTGGTTTTGCAGTTTGCAAGACCAAGACCACCTAAGTGTTGCAATACCGAGACTGATATAAAAAAAGCGTTTTTATGAATAAAATTAATACAAAATATTTACTAATACTAGACAATTTTTGTTCCTACATGTAAAGAATTGGTAGAGCCAGTATACTTTTGCATTTAACTATTCCAATTTTTTATTCCGAGTTTAGTTAGGTTTCCGCTATGTTAGATATGTTTTAATACTGAAAAAAATTGTTTGAAATCGGCAGAAAAGTCATGTGAGTGGAAACACTAGATTTTTTTATTTAATTAATTGGTGAGACATTGTATAGATTGTCTTAACTCAAAAATTCTTCCATTCCCTGATTAGCACCTATTAATTTGGTTAGATCTCACTATGTTTACGTCAATAAAACATCTGAATGTAATTATTATGGAGTGTTTTCTAAGATCTAAAGTAACATGGTCAATAAATAGCAATAAGCTAATAAGTAACTGCAAGACTTGCAAAACTCTTGCGAATCAAGACTGAACATTTAAGAACGTTTTTGTGAATGTTGACATTTAACGATAAAAGAACATATTAAGCCCACCTAAATGTCACAAAATCTGTAGCATATCAAATATATTAAAACAATGTTGTGATTTTAGTAATATGAAATTACTTATCACTTAATGACATTTTGCAATAAACCTATAATTTTGTTTCGAAGCTACGGGGGGTTATAACAGATTTTTGGTATATTCATATATGAATGAACAACATAGACTTGGATACTAGCCAGCACCCAAGAAATAAGTATTGAACGATTTGAGAGAAAAATCCTCCGCACGATAACCGGAACGATCTGAGTACTAACGAGTGGAGGAAAATGACCAATAAATCAATGCTCACAGAAACTGGTCAATCAAGATTTCATGACATGAAGGCAAGGAGGTTAAGATGGTCGACATATATATATATATATATATATATATATATATATATATATATATATATATATATATATATATATATCTCGGATCATTCAGGAAGCCTCTCAACAACACTTCCATTGGCAAAAAACTGCATGGAAGGCGAAAATCCAGATGGATAGAATCAACAACGATGTTGCAGATCTTCATGGAAATAACTAGAAAGAAAAAGTCCAAGATAAGTGGAGATGCAAAAGGTTGATTAAGTTGGATAACCCCTGACTGTGTTATTTTGTGATACTTTACTTTTGTTCGTACCTGAGCTGAAATCCGTGCAGGGGTGATTCGGGGAAGATGTCGAGGGATTCGGAAACTGAAGATGACGGGCTGGGAGTGGCGTCCAATCCACTCCGGAGGGCCTCCACTTTCTTCTTCACCCGACCCCGCCTCTTCTCGAACTTGGAGGTCTCCATGGAGGTGGCTCTCCGCCGAGCAGACTTGCCGGGTTTGGCGTCTGGGTTGATCATCCACCACGATGACTTACCGGTTCCTTCGTTCTGTACCCTCATGAATCTGTTATGCAGCGAGAGGTTGTGTCGAATCGAGTTCTGCAAGAAAAAAAAAATGAAAATTATAATTACTACATTAAAATAAAAATACATCTAGTAATAAGAACAGATAAAGGTAAAAATATTTTGGGAAAAAATAGTCATTTGTAGCATTCTTAATCTTTTTTTCAGACGTCACACAGAGCTATCAGGAATCGAAGAGGACGGCTAGAAACGAGAGGATTCGGGTTGTTCAGAAGTTTATTATGAAAGGACAGGTATCTGTTTACAGTCGAGTTTTTAATTTTATTATATATATATATATATTTTTTTTTTATTGATATTTACAACTGTATTACATGGAAAATACAATAAATAAATGTGACATTGGTAACATGACATGTACAACATGAAGAGAAACTACCCATTGGTAGAACTCAAATTAAAGTTCTATATTACAAGGTCCCGAAGGCCATCTTCTTTTCAGACGCCTCGGAGGATTATCAGGGATCGAAGAGGAAGCAAGGTTTGAAACGAGAGGATTTGGATGGTTCTGCAGTTTGTTATGGAAGGATAGGTATCTGGATTGGGCCAGGTCAGAAACATAAGTAACATTAAGGTCGTTATGGATGATTTTATTTGTGACGAAGTAAGGAGCAGTGAGGATTTTACGAAGGATTGGATGTAAGGATTGGATACGAGAGGAATTCGATGGTTTAGTGGAGCCCCAAAACTCAATTCCGTAAGTCCAAATAGGTCTTATTGTAGTCATGTATATGAGTCTTTTGTAATTGACTGGGAGCTTAGAACGTTTGTCTAGTAAGTACTGGAGATATTTATTTTAAATTTATAAAATTACAACTACATTAAAATAAAAATACATCTAGTAATGAGAACAGATAAAGGTAAAACGATTTGGAGAAAAAATAGTAATTTGTAGCATTCTAATAAGATTTCCACATTAGGAGATCATGAGACCATCTTTTTTTCAGACGTTTCGCTGAGTTATCAGGAATCGAAGAGGACGATCAGAATCTAGATGATTTGGATTGTTTAGACGTTTATTATAAAAGGATAAGTATCTGTTTTCAGTCAAGTTCTATACTTGTATTATATTTAAATGAAATTTGTAATACTTCTAATATAACTACGGAAGTATTTGATATGCTCAGCTGAAAAATTACTTAATTTTCTGTAAAAAAAAAAATTTTTTTTTATTGAGTATTACAACAATCTATCAAATGGATACTAATTATAGTGAGGTAGGATAACATTAACACTATATGTACAAAAAATATAAAATAAATAGAAGCAAAATAACAATGAATAATAATCAAAAAGTATATACAATAAACAAAATAAAATGACCTAAAAATAAGAAAATTAAAACTAAGCAAAAAACACCTGCATACCTATATACAATTAGGCGAGGGAACTGCAGGACAACCCTGCGCTACTCTCTCAACCGCATCACTGGTACTAAAGCCAGCGGAGATTGAACGAGAGCACTAGCCACATAAATTTAAAAAATAAAGAAACTAAGGTGTGTGCTTTAGACCAGCGAAAAAATCGACAAGGCGAGATTAATAATATGAAATATAAATTATAAATAATAGTTCATTATAAAGAGGATGAAATGCTTGAACAATTCTCTCTCTCTTACAGTATGCAGATTTTTAGTTTCTAAGATATTTTAATTCATATCTTCAATAAAACTCATTATAATTTGGTTTTCGTTACCATTTTTTTCTCCTATCTAACATGGCGTTGCGTTAAGATACAATTTTGAATAATAGCCCATTACAGAGAGAATGAAATGCTGAGCAATCCCCTCGCTTACAGTATTCAGGTCCGAATTTTAGTTTCTGAGATATTTTAATCCATATGCAAAAACATTTTAATTCGTCGACTTCAACTCGACTGCGTTATACTTCCCAATCTCAATTGAACTGAGACAATATTTCTAAACAAATTTTGTATCGTATATTATGTTGAAAGAAATTTGGAGGAACATTACATATTTGAAATGGATGGTACTGGATTAGTAATTAAGTAATAAATATTAATTATATTATACTTTTAAAAAAACCTAAATAATGTTATAAAAGTTGTAATTTAACCTTGTGTTGTAAATGTTTACAATTCGCTTTTACGTCCTTAAAAATGTTTTCACGTATAATAGGGAGTGATATGATGCTCGTTATATCGTTGATATCTGTTTGGCGAACTGTGTAGAAATTCTTCTCAGTATCTGAAGCTACTGCGTCGTTCAGGATATAGTATGATTTTTATATAATCAACAATTCCACTATAAATTAAGAAATAATCTTCAATGCAAATAATAATAGGAAATTTCTTAAATAAAACTGTATAATAGAATATACAATTTAATTAACCTTTTTATTCGAGTAAAAATTAAAAATTAATTAATTGAATTGTGATATAGGGTAAGCACACCAGTGATGGACATAGCTAAGGAAAATTTTTGTCTTATACCGCCGTAATTATTATAGTTAAAATAAATTTCTCCGTTGGACATTTAGAATATCTTAGATCTCTTTTTCTATTTAACAATTGAAAATTGAAAAAAAAAATTAGTTACGCAGTTATAATATCCATTAAAAAAAAAAAACACGTTTATCCACTAGTGATGGACACCGCGAAATTCAATTGTTCTAGTAATAGACAGAGGGTCAGTACCAGTAATATATACACCTCAAAAAAAAATTATAAAATCTTTATTGAAGTATAAAGATATGATAATATAAATGTTCAACTTAATCATAGGTAAACTGTTAGTAGGAAGGTATGAAACCCACTGATCTCAAGATCACAATAAAAAAAAATGATAGGCATTTTAAAATTTTCTTTTGGGAATTTTGTTCATATCGACCGAAATAGCTTTGGAATAGTTTCCGTGAACATCATCTTATCGTAACCTACAATATTTTTTCTTTACGAAAATTCTCAGAAATGTGAAGTTTTCTCATTAAATTAATTGATTAATTAAGGTGCTAAAAAACTCATAAATACTCATTTTCTTTTAAATAGAATCGTAAGATAATTCCATCACAAAATAGAAAAAAGAAATAGAAGGATTACAATTAAATAGAAATCTATACTTTAATATTTGTTTTTCTCGTAAACAAATACAAATAGTAATAAAAAAATTGTTTTAATTAAAAATTAATATGAGCAAAATAAAATAATGAATTTTGTAAATTTTCTTCTGAAAACGGTAGTTTTTTATGGTTTGAAATGATAACACTGATTTGTGCCATTTCGCCTATTTAATTGGGTCCTAAGTACATGTCTATTTCGTGTAGAGGGAAGAAGCCACGATGAAGATATCACAAGTTTTGTAAGTTTCGAAAAAAAAAAAAAAAAATTGAGTAATACCACTTAGCATTTTATCTTCCATTTAGTGCACTAACTTTGTAAAGGTATTCGATCTACAGTTAGTAGTCCGTGGTACAGAACCCTTTTGATCAAATTATTAACATGCACCTTAAAATTTGTAAATAGCTTTATCTAATCTTAACTTATTTAAGAAAATTCTCTGGATTGGGGCGTTTTCAATCTTAAAATCGCAAATTTTATACGTAAGATAATATGATCACAAAAACGAAAGAAAAAAAAAAAGGTGGCCTACAAATATATTAGTCCGTTTGGCGTGATATAGGCCTAGTGAGGGTATATAGGCCAAACGCACCAATATTTTTTATGCCACTTTTTTTTTAGACTTTGCTAGCATATTATATTACGATTCACTGAAAAGCAAATGAGTATTTAGTGCAATATTAAATAGACGAAGTTTATTGATCTTCAGATTGAAAACGCCCCAATTCTGAGAATTTTCGTAAATAAAATATTTGCTAGGTTGAGATGAAATGAAGCTATTTACGAAGTTTCAGGCGGAGGAGTCCGTTCCACGGACTATTAAAAACGCATGCAAACAAAATATGCACTTGGATTAAAATCTTAGGCCATAACTAATACACGAGAAGACATAACTACTATAACATATTGTAAAAATAACATCCTTAAAGACTCTTTTCAGACATTTTAGGTTAAATCATAGTCAAAGTTTTCGTAACATCAATTTTAAACAACCCATTGGCCCAGTTCCTTCTATTCCCATCAGAGGAATGATATGCCGATGGAGGAGATGTAAGGTCTAAGTTCTCTCCTAATATATCCGGGCAGGTGTGATATACGGTCGCAGTGGCAGTAAAGTTAGGACCGGACTAAAATCGGTTCACTGAAGGGGCAGGAGATGCGAAGAGATATGGGGCCGAACGTCGGAAGGAAGACCTCCTCGCCGCTGGTCGGGGAGAGGAACTAGAGGAGGAAAAAAAAAAAAGAAGAAGAAATAAAAAGAAGTGGGATAAGAAAGGAAAAAAAGGAGAGTGGGAGAGCCACTTCCTTACAAGTCATAAAGCAGGCTATGGCCCTAATAAGCCCCGTGCTCTTGCAAGTTCACTATATCAGCCGTCACCTTACACAGCGCGAACTTTTCTTATGTAAAGGCCGGATCTGATATAGTGGGTCCAGCCAGTTCGGCTCCTAGCCGCCACATTTACAACTGAATAAGGGGGGGGGAGTTAGGACGTAGAGGGGGGACGTGGGAGGGGGGGTTAGAACTCCCCTACTACTCTTATATAGTGGAAGGGGGGGCATCTTCCTTATTAGAGATCTCCAAATATTTATTTCAAATCAGTTCTCTATCTCTGTCAGTGGGGTTCAAGGGTAGGTTATCTCCCAGATGCCGACCTATCTCTACGAACAGAGTATAGTCATAGAAAATTATAACCAGAATGTGGATGAATATATATATATAAATTCAAATTTGTAGGTTAGGACTTCATCTTAATCTATATATATATAAATGAATGTATGTCTGTCTGTCCTTCAGTTTGTCCTTAGTGAATTACTAAACCATTCAACCGATCGCCATGAAACTTTGGGAAGTTGTTACGTACACTCCTGGGAAGGTTTCTATCTTACTGTAATTTTGTATATGTAAACAAAAATAAAAATGTAAATGTTTTTCTGTTTAA